AAAAAAAAAAAAAAAAGGAGGAAAAAGAAAAAGAAAAAAAAAGCGCGGACAGCCTTTCAGTCGAGTGTAAATTTAATGAAACGGAGCTTCCATTTGTCGTCAGCGCCGGCCTGAAATTGCATAAAGGGCCGAGTGATTTTTCTTGTCACACCGGCGAAGTAACACTCGCGACAATTCGCTATCGGAGAACGATGAAAAACTCGAATCGATCTCGTTAACTTGATCGCTGCGCGCGCCCGAGAAAGATGGAAATTAATTTTTCTTTTTCTCCGTTTGTTTTTTTTTAATGAAAGTCGTGTCGCGCGTATCGACCGGTCCCCGTATCGACAATGGACATGGAAAATGGTCTCGATCCGCGACTGCATCCGTCATTTTTATTCGAAATTAACTGAATTTCCATTTGTGTGTCGCCGTAAAGATAGGTTTAACGCACGCGATCGCGGTAGGAATATAATTTGCCTCCAAAACAGCGCGCAATTGAATAAACGATAAAGCCCGAGGATCTTGAGGACACGTTGATATTATGCGCCGGGTAGAATTGTCTGGCGGCACGTGATTCCCGTGCTGCTCTTCGGAGATGCAGCGTGCCATTAAAGTCAGAAACAGAGGGTGCGCGACTAGTCTCGTAGAGAAGGGAAGGAAGATTCGACTGCCGTGCGAATATTGAACGAGCTGCCCGTGCCGCTCCCGTATGCTTCGTATCGAGTTTTTCAGCGAACGAATCGTCGCGATCGTTTGTCTCTTTCGGTAATTACCGCTTTTACGTTGCTAGAGGCGATCCACCTCAGCGTTAGAGCCTCGCCAGCCGTTGGAAAATGGCTGACCGATTTCATTATCGCGCGTTTTCGTGCAACCGCGCCTCTCTCGCTTGCGGACGATGAAGCTGGCTGGCGAGGTATAAAAGGCGCGTGAGACACCGCTGCGAAAATCGTTGGACTTTGTCGAGGAATCGGAACGAGAATGAGAGGAGGGAAAGAAAGGAAGAGACAAAAAGAGAGAGGGAAAGAGAGGGTGTGTAGAAAGTATGAGGAAGCGAGAGCCGTCGTAATTACCAAGCCAGGAAAAATATCGACGAGCGGTCGCCGTTGAATTCCATTCTGCTTCGGTATCCCCCGTATATCGTACTTTCCTTTTTTGGCATTACGGACACGACACCCAATAGAAACGTGACGTCGAGCTATCGACCTACGTCTCCTTCCATTCTCTTTCCCCCCTTTCTTTCCCTCTTCTCGCTTTTGACCTGCTCTCTGTCCCTGCTCTTTTCGGTGTCTCTCGCGGCACCACGTTTCACCTCTCGTCTATGTTGCTCTCGGCGTCCCTCTGCTATTCGGCCGGCCGCCGCCCGCAAATGCAATAAAAGGCGTCGAGTGTTTACTCGCACTGTTAAGTGGCACTCGGTATCATATTGTCGCGGGACAAGCATTCTCGTCTTCGCGGTGTGATTGGTCGCGCGCGTGACCCGTGACGTGGCAGCACTCATTGAGATACGGAATTTTTCTGATTTCTTGTTCAACGGTTGACGGGAGAAGAAAAACAGAGGTACAGAGAGAGAGA